CTCTCTCTCTCTTTCCATCTCTCTCTCCTTTGTCTCTTTCCATTTCTCTCTCTCTCTCTCTCTCTCTCTCTCTCTCTCTCTCTCTCTCGTCCAAACTCTCCTTCTCTCCGTGTCCCCAACACGTTCATCCCGTCGAAGATTTGCACTCACGCACTTTTAATTACCTGCGGGACTTTTTCCTCCCTGGCCAGTGTAGGCGGGTGGGAGTCGTCGCTCTCTCTCTATTTCCGGTGTCCCATTTCCGCGACTATTTGTTTAGACTATTTTCGTCTCTAATCGTACAATCTGTGTGGAAGAAACGTGGGATATCAGCAAAAGCATCGTAACTCTTTTTTTGTTGTTGTTGTGAAAACCCCTGTTTTTCACACTCCATGGCACTATTATGGGGTGTTTGATCTTTCAAAAAGCACTGAGCCGTGCCATTATTTTGTGAAAGTACGTTTTGAATTTAAATTCCAGACGTTGTTGATCGATATAGATCTAGTGGGGAAAATATTAGCGTTTTGTTACTTCTGTAAATGTTGAAAAAACTCGAGTTACGATGGTTGTGAAGCTACCCCGCGGTCACAAAGATAAATCTTTTGACCTAGATCTACTTTCATTCATGTCATTTTAACACAAGTACATTGAGTACACTGATTGCCCCGCCCGCATAATAGGTTCCGTACGCGCAATGGTAAAGGTCTTAGTTTCAGACAGTGTTTTACAGCACTTTCAGCACAATTTGGACATAAAGTGCTGAGGATGAGAACATTTACTAGAAGATAATAAGTACGAGTGCTAGAGGTTTGATAACTGACAAGGAGCAAACCAAACCAGAGCATCTGTCAATCAACCAGCCCCTTTTTTAAGAGTTTTGTTTCAAAAGACCTCGCCTCAGAACGTTCTTCACCAATTCACCGTAAAAGAAACCCCCCAAAACCCACAACAAACCCATTAAAACATGATGCGTGTACGTGTGTGAATTCCAACTGTTACTGGTACATCTGTGTACGTCGAAAGGATACCAAGTCGCGTCGAACCTTCCCTTTTAGACCCAGGGATAGAAGTGCGGGAACACCATAGCCCTTTGAGATTGGAACGTGCAGGACATCACCTGAAGTGAAAGGCTCTTATTGCAAACTAATTAATTAAGTATCCTAAGGCGGAAACGAATAGGAGGCAGGGCGGGGAGAAGAGCAAAAGCTCATCACATAGCAGTAGGGGAAATTGGATAGGCTGTCCACATGCCTTGGAAGTTGGAAGCCAGCACGAAGTATCTGAACTATTAGCCGCCTATCGGAACTTCGCACACAATGCGCCCATGTAAAATTACGAATGATCATGCTTCTTCTTAGGCTAAAGGTTCAATTCACGTGATTTGGCGTTATTCTGTTTCAAAATACATTGTGAAGTGGATTTTTGTTTTAGACTTCTTTTGTTTTGCTTTGGTTTAGTAGTGTTTTAGTTGGGGGTAGGGGGGCGTTTTTTAAATGTTCTGTTAGTTTGTTGCTGCTCTTAATTTTGTTTGTTTGTTTGCTGTTTGTTGTTTTCTTTTGATTGATTGTTTGTATGTTGTTGGGGGTCTTTTTTTGGCTGAAGAGGAGAATTAGTTCAAATATACTACCAGCATCCCAGCACGACTTAAAGTGTAATAGTTATGCTATTTGTCATGAACATAAAAGATTAAAATTCGGTCCAAACATGTGGAAGAGACTCGTAGTTTTTAGAGTTCCTTCGTCTTTGTTTTGGAAAGTTGCACTCAAATCCTCTCGTGTTGGCCTTGGTGAAACTACAGCCTAAAGGAATATACACCCGAAAGTGTCCGAGAGAGAGCCATCAATTATCGAAGAGAAAAGCTGCTGTCTTAAGCAGGTGGAATTTTGGACAGTGTCATTATAATATCTTTTTAATAGCCAAAAGAGGAGTGGGAAGGTGGGAGTGGGGTGGTCGCTTGTAAATTGTACATAATATTTTGCTTGTTTAAGAGAAGGCTTAACTGTACATCGATTCCTTTAAGAAAAAGTAGCACAATATCTCCGGGCGATAACTTGGAAGGAACAGTTGTAGACTGATGGAAAATCTACGGGGCGTTGATATTTCGTAAAAACAAGTACACTTATAGATGTTTCTCGACAAACAAATGATATTGGTTAAGTAGTGCAGCTCTTCTTCAAGTGCTAGATCTGAAAAAGACATTTCCAATCATAGTTCACCACATTACAATATCATTTCTCTGCCGGGATGCCCTCAAAGAACTACACAGTACTATACTGTCACACATTAATGCTATCGGAGACTGATGTTTAATTTGGTGAAATGTTGAAATGGTATAGGTTTAACGCCCCTATCAACACTATTAGGTTATTAAAGGGGCGGGACCTCCTCGTTTAACGTCAGTCTCCGATAGGACCGAGCTAAGTGGGAAGTTCGTGTAAAGCTCCTTTCCCAAGGACACAACGTCGGACCGAGCTGAGGCTCAAACCCCCGAACTCGCAATCTCACGATTACGAGTCCGGTAGCCTAACCACTAGGAGGTCAAATTTGGAGGTACCGACACTTCAACAACTTTAGGGTGTTTCAAGGGATGTAAAACTTTAACAATTTCGCAAAATTATGTTCTTTCCCCTTTGAATGGCTTTTCTTGGCATCCAACCTTCATTGTATTGTCGATCACAACTCGGAACAATGATCTGTTAGGTATTATGCTACAATATTCATGTATCATATAAGCTATGACTTGTGTCTGATGTGCAGTTGTGTGGAATTGTGTCAAGGTAAAAGCAAAATTGGATACCAACTGCTTATAACACAAACAGAACAGCAACATCATCTGAGCAGAATATTGCTGTAATATTACATTGATCTGGTGTATGTTTGACACCAAACTAGACACACAAACTAAGCCTACAATTTTTCTTTCACAGACTCTGAGAAAGAAATAGTTCACATCCCCAGGCATACATAATCATTTAAGAAACTAGATAAATAAATAAATATAAAATAATCAAATAACAGAAAACCAACTGCAACGTCGAATTTGTGTGAGTTCACCATACTTTATGGCCTTCGTTTTCTTTTAAGCGTGCTTTTTTTTATTTTATTTTTTTTTAAGTACACTGAATAAATAGCAGAAGTTTTGGAGTATTTTTCAACCAATATCTCCCCGATCTTAAACGGCTTTACCCCCGGGGCTGATGGAGCGATCAAGCCAATCTATCCTCTACGTGACCGCTGCGGGTGATGGGTTTTGGAAGATGTGCTGTGTATTGAATGCCGTCTGAAATTCCCAAGCACCCACGACTATTGAAAGACTGTTTAGTTGGAAAGAATAAAGAAATAGCTTCCATAAATAGTACCATGTGTATAGATAAAAGAAAGTCCATAAGAGAACCATAATGCATACCGGTCACTATTTTAGAATTACAGTGTTCTATCTATGAGCTACGACTACTACGATGTCAGTAACTGAATGTTCTGTCTGTTCTATAAAACTCCTAAGATTATTTATTTGGAGTCGTTATCAAGATATTCAAAGAATTACATTCGAAAAGCTTGATACAAAATGAAACTCATCATGTTTGACGTCACATTTCTCGAAACTAGGTACTGAGCAGACAGAACTTTGTAATTCTGAGGTAGCACGCTGAGGCAGCGTGGTGGAATCAGGCTCTCGTCAAAATAATCAAAATGAAGAAACTTGCATTTTTCCGCAGGTTTGTAAATTTTTAAAAAGTTTTTGTTTCTTGGCTCAACACCTTTCATGCCCATTAAAGAGCTCATTTCTGTGTGGATTTTTCTGAAAATCGTTGATTAAAGACACAGAAAATGTACATTTTCAGTTACCACGGACTCTTAAGCTAAGGACATAACTAACCTTCAGAGGCCATTTTCTCACTAATTTTACTTCTGAAAACAGGTGACCCCCACCTCCTTCTTTCGTAAATATCTCAACTTGTATTCGAGATAAATGGATACTTTTTTCATCCAAATAAAGACAAGTCAACAAGCTTTAAGATGTAACCAATAACTCTACATGTACAAGAATTGACGAGGGCCTGATTCCACCACGCTGCCTCACAAGATTATTTGTCTCTGAACGTAAACGACTTAAATGTGATTCCTGTGTTTAGGAGAATTCCTTTAGGCGCCTAAGAAATCCACCAGAATACTGCTTCCCTCACAGTCCGGGTTGGCGTCGACAATTAGGGTCCTCCTAGCACTGCTCTTCTTAATAGTCTACATGACAACTTACACCAGTTGTACTTTGAGTAACGCAATAGGACTGGAGACTGAGGTGTAATGTTAGGCGCTTCGTCGTCGGACCCGACCTCGATTCCCGAGTGAGGAGCATTTATGAGGCATGCTGAAAAAAAGAGTTACTTCTCGCAATTCACAAATTATGGGGATATTTGCCAAAAATCGACATTAGAGTCAAACTTGTAGATTTTCAATTGATGCCACATTCTTTAACTATAACCTGTCTTTTATTGTTCCATAATTATAAACTGTAAAAATTCACCTATAAGCGTGATTTATCTATTTCTTTAAGGCCAGAACCTGAAAAGTAACTCGTTTTGTCAGCACGCTTCACATTTGGTCGCTTTTAAGCACAAATGGGCTATCCCTGAAAATGCTGTTTTGAGAAAATCGAAGGAAAGTTTTTGCCCCTCGTTCAATGTCTTTAAAAAAACAAGAAGAGTTTTCTCTATAACCAGACACATATTAACCCCAATGAAACCAAACTTCTCCTATAGGTAGGGCAATGCCCACTTTTTGTGTAGGTCAAGATTTCTGGAAACCCTCGAAATCTGGGTTAGCCCGCTTGTCCTTAAAAGCGACCATTTAATTTATGGGGTATCTCAGTCTTTTTTCTGGGACATTGTATCGCTCTCAGTTCAGCCCTGGTTGGCCTTGAAAGGCAGGATAGAAGCATGCTTCTAAATGATATAGATATATAATAATGTGTTGTAGTGGCCTTAAATAACACCTTCATAGAAATGTCTGGGTTGGAGTTGGCAGGTAGGGTTTAATCACTATTAAAATTTGTTTTAATTATCTACGAGAAGTCTTACATTTAATGTTCTTTGAAAATATTCAGTAATGTAGAACTAAAATTACCCCCGTTCTCAGAAAAGACTTTAATACATATGATAGCCCACTGAATATTTTGTTCCAAAGTTTCTGTAAATTGGTTCTCAACAGCTCTGGGGTTGTTGTTGTTTTGTTTTTGGTTGGGGGGGTTTTCTATGCCACGCACAGCTTCTCTTGGCCAACTCAATCACATGCTTTAAAAGTCGATT